TCCTCTGAAAGGACAACTTTTAATAAAGGAAGAAATCATTTGAATCTCAGTCTTCTCTCACAAAAAAGGCTTACAGTAAGAAAATGTGTTAACTGTGTAGGAAAAATACTACACAGTGTGGTGCAAAACTAACTGTAGCTCTGCTTTAACATGGATTTAAATAATGTTTTGGATGTTTTCTTGCATGCGTCTGTGATAAGCAGACATGGCCCAGCTCCTGACCCGCCTCCTGCAGCTCATGCTGGCTGTGCTGAGCTGTGCTGCTGTCAGCGGGCTGTTTGAGTGGTTGACACAGACACCCACGCCTCCACCACCTCCCCCACCTGCTCCTGCACCTCTTCTAAAGGATGCTCAGTTTGAGCTGGCGACTGCAGATGAGAAGTTTCTGGCTGAGGCCAAGCAGCTGGAGCTCAGCCCGCTGGACAGCTGCCATTACAGGGTAAAGAAGAGCATCCACGCCTTGAAGTTGTGGCTCTAGAACCAGACAAACATCATCTTTGCTGCACAGTATAACTCCATGTTGCGTGGTCCCTTTCTTACAGTCCATGGGCTGCTGTGCCAGTAATTTGATTAAAGTTGTTTTCTCTTTTACAGGTAGTTGCTCAACTAAAGGCGAGCTGTGACGGTCTCTCTGAGGAGAATCTCGCAAAGCTTGGGGTGGTTTTGTTCAACTGCCAGGCTGAGATCGAGGGACGCCGTTCCTTCCCCTGTACAGAGGACATGGTAATAAAGAAATGAATAAATAATCAAATCTGTAATCCAAAATCAAACAATTTTCCCAGAAATGCTTCTCAACCCTTTGGTGTTGGTTCAGACCATCAAAGAGTGCACAGCCGGCATGGATTCGGACACGTGGAATGCTTACCTCATAGTCAGCAACCGAGCGCGCTCCGTCTGCTACGCCACTCGCCAGCAGCTGTTTCGACGGCGAGCAGAGCACACGGTTAATGCCCTGATCTCCACGGCCACCAGTCAGCTGAGCGCTATGAAGGACCTGAAGGTAAATCTGGGTGTTATTGCTTTTCTTACCTTCAGATTAATGCTGGGGGGGCACCTGATGCAGCCCGTGTTTATTTGCCTGCTCCAAAACAGGAGGGCCAGGTGGAGTTAAAGGAGCTGACGGCGGCCTCGCTGGACAAGCTGATGGAGGGTCACAGTGCCCTGCAGGCTCAACAGGGAAAACTGCACGAGGGCCAGGAGCAAATGGAGAGCTCTCTGCGGGAGAACCTGGAACGCCTGAGTCAGGAAAAGGCCCTCATCGCCTCCGGACAGCAGCTGGTTGCTCAGCTCATTCAGGGCATCACAAAAAGAATGGGTGAGCATCAACGTGGTTAAGCATGCTTTTTAATCATTTATATTTTATACTTTCTAGTTTATTTTGTCTTCATTGTGATTTTAATATCTGCACAAGAAGCAAAGGCAAAACACCCCAACTTTCAGTCCATTTGAATTAGTTTTGTTGTCCATTCAGGAAACATCTTTCTGTGCAGTTGGTTGAATCTGTAATAGAAAAAAAGCATTTTTCTGATTGAAAATAACTATGATAAAATAATTAAAAGTTCATAGTTTGATTAACAAAGTACAAGTCATTTAATAAGTTTAAGACATTTGCTACTTGCTGTTTATTTATTTCTAAGAAAACGTGAGTGAGCATCTGCAGATCCAAAGCTCAGAAGTGCAGGAAAGCCACAAGGACATAGTACAGGACCTCACAGGTGTCAGACACCAAGCTCAGGATATCTACCAAAAAATTGGTAAGTGATCAGATAACATTTGTTCAAATTTGTAACCCATGATGTGAGTGGAGTTTAGTTTTTTTCCCCCTGTGTCTGGACAGACCACAGCATGTCGGAGTTTCTGCAGTACCAGGAGCAGACCTCGCAGTACTACGCTGAGCTGATGACCAAGCTGGAGCGCATGAACAGCACGCTGGGGTTCATGCTGCACTACCTGGATAGCATGCAGAGCCGCATAGAGGACAGACTCCTCCTGATCCAGGGATACCTTGGCTGGGCGGGTGAGACATGAGACCCACTATGGACTTCCCATTCTTATCTTTCTCTATTTTTTTTCACTTCGTGTTTATGTTAAAACTAAGTTTTAGAAAAAGCTGATTGTTGTTAACGAGTCATTTTTCCATAGAAACAACTTTTTTAGTTTTTTAAAGCATGAATAAACTTAATGCCGTAAAGGACTACAACCACTTTGGTCAATTTCTCTTTTATTTATATGAAAAACATACTTTTTTTTTTGTTTTTCCCTTCCTCTTTTTTACAGGGTTGAGTCTGACAGCCATGTGGACGTGTGTTGCACACACGGGCTACTTTGTTCTGTGTGCGGTGCTCCTGGCGTTCCTTCGTAGTTCAGGCTTCTCCCGAGCCATGCTCCTGCTCACGGTGCCCCTGAATGCAGCGGCCGAGGTCAACCAGCAGCCCGCGCTGGACCTGGCCAGCCTGAGTCTGCTGCTGCTCATCGCCTCTCTGGGTACAGGCCTCCAGCAACTCTCTACAGCAGACGTTTCCCTTTCATCCACAACAGCTGGTCCCAATGCAGTTTTCTGCCTGCAGGTCACTGGTTTTTGAAGAGGATGTTGGAGGGCTTCAAGATGAGAGCAAAGCAAACTACTCCACCTCCACTAATGTTGGGCAACATCATGGAGCCGCATGAGAAACCGGCGTCAACGGGCCACAAGCATCCACATTCTTCTACACCAGAGAGGCAAGTGTGGAATACAGGCAAAGCTGTAGTGTATATACATTTAGGAAAAAAAAAATCAAAATGCACATTTCCCAGAAAACCGAAAATCAGAGCTGTGGTATATCTGAGACAGAAAATAAGTTTAAAAAAAAAAAAACATTTTGAAAAATCAATAATGATAAAAATGTAATTTGACTATTACATGGTGTCAAAATAAGGGACTTTCAGATTATACTAAATCTCACCAGAGGTTTTTCTTCACAGATATGAAAGGGACAACTTTCTGGAGGATGACCTGTTGAATCAAGACAGCTTTTTATCAGGTAAACTGTCCATGCTTCCCTTTTTTTCAAAATTCTTTATAATGTATTAGATTAAGTTTCAGGTTTGCTCTTAAGGTGTGTGTTCTGTTTTTTTTTTTTTTTACAGGGAACCTAGGCATATCAGCTGTGTCCCCCCCTCGGAAGACAACAGCATTGGAGTCTAGGTTTTTGCCAACTGTCTCACAGAATCACTCCACTCCCAGATTTGTGCCCCAGCCAGTTTTCTCACAAGTGAGTTAATCAAAACTTTTTCTGAGGGGGGGGCAGTATTTTTGCCAGTCATTAGCTGCTACCATCAGAATTATGTTAATTTCACAGGCTCATATTGATGACATCCCTCTGAAAGACTTGGGAGGTATTTTTGATGAAGTGCACAGCTCACATGGTTTTGGGAGCAACTCCAGAAGTTCAAGTCCCACCCCATCACTGGTCAGCAACAGGTTAGTGTTTCAGATCATGGCTGACCTCAGAGTAAGTGAATGAACTCATGTTCCTGTCCCTTCTTTTCTGATCCAGCTCCCTGTCTGGTCGCCAGCTGTGCAATGGGATCACAAAAACAGGAAAGCCCTGTAAGAAGAGAGCCATCCCAGGACAGGAGTTCTGCCGAGTCCATGAGGGGGGGGTATACCTCCTATGTTAAGTTCTGAGAAGCCCCCCCCAGCTAGGATTTTTTGCGTTTGTGGAAATAACGATAAACCTGTATGTATTTTAACTTTAGTTGTTTATGTTTTTTCAGTTTCATTTTTAAATAAATTATTTCAATATTTAATAGGGGCTGTTTTCTGTGCAGAGTAAGTCATAGGACACTATTCTTATCTCAAACACAAGAGAAGTCACACACATGAATACCCCAGTAAGTAATGGGTGAGAGCACAAGTTGACCGTTGTTTAATCGGGAAAGTAGCCTGACCACTGTGCCGCTGTCTGCATAAAATATCAAACATTAAATATTCCATTAAAGTATGATGATCTGTAGTATCTAGAAATCAAAAATTAATCTAAAATACTTGATCCCAAAGTGAAATTAAATGTTGATGTAACTTGGTGAAGGAGGCCCATCTTTTAGGCTATGTCCAGAACAGGACATTGTAGATATGGGACAAATGAAAGAAGAATTGTCTCGAAATCAATTGCTGCAATCAGATCTAACCTCTGTGGTTCAAATGGTATTGACACAGAGGTTGCAATAACATCTGTTTGACATGCTCAGAACCAGGGATAGCACACTGAACGTGTGAGGTTTTCAGATATGTCATAAAACTGTCTTATTGCACTGGACTAATTCTTTCAAAGTCTTAGCCTATAATGTTGTAACATTTTATTTCCACAAGTGTCATTCATAAACAAAAACAGGACATGTATAAGCTGTGCATTAAATAAGGCAAATCCGTTTCCAATACCCATCAGTAACTATCCTGGGAGCAGTTACAGAAAAAAATGTAAAAAAAGTTAATGGGATAGGTCTCCACCACCTGGATTTTAAGACGGACAGTTACCAGTTTACATAATGAACATGGAGGTGGTACACTGCACTGCCTGCAGCTACAACCATTTTCCTTTGAGTACAAATAGGTGGGGGGTTAGCCGCACACAGCCCAGCTTACTGAGTCTCAGCGAGGACCAGACTGACACCATTCATGATCAGCCCTCAGATAGGAGCCACTACGACCTCCTCCGGCCCTCTCAGACCATCACAGAAACAGGAAGTGAGCAGACACACGAGGGCCAGCAGAGGTTTCACTTCCGGGCGGTGTCATAGTTGCCAACAAACCAGTTGCAGGTTTCTTTTAAAGCTGCAACAACAACAGAAAATCAAGGATGATTGGCATTTTAGTGAGGAAAATTTGGACTTCAACATGCTCGGAACGAGTGGACCCACCCTGCTGGAATGGTGTGAATTTGAAGTCCGGTAGATAGCGGCGTAGCTTTGCATTGCTGGCTGTTTTCTTAAACTGACCATCTGCTTTACTGATGTCGTACTGAATACAAACGCTCAGGGAAAAACAGAGAAAAAAAAATGCCAGACAATTTTGGAAACAAACAATCAGGTCCTCTTACAGAATGTGGGACGTATGGACAATAGTTTGCATTACCTATATTTACTTACGATACTTTATTTTCTGTGGTGACTCGCATCTTTTTTCCTTAAACTCTAAGGACTGAAATCCATTCAACTCTAAAACATTATTCTTCTATTATATAGTCTCTGATCCAATCTCCATAATTTAAAGGATACGACTACTTCTCCTTTAAAACCCAAAGATTCCACGACTGCCTCTGCTGCTTCTTTGATGGACACTTCATCTTCCTCACCAACTGGAAGCAAAATACAACACTGTCATTAAATCTCACTTTAAACTTGAAAGGTCTTGGTTTTGTAAATGGAGACTCACCGGAGAGAATTATTGGCTCAACCTCTGGATAATCTCTAAGGACCCAGAGGAAGAGACGAGCCAAATCCAAAGAGTAGATAAACTGCCGTCTGGGAGTGCCGGATCCCCAGACCACCAAGGGCTTCCCCTCCTCTAAAAAAAACAAAAAACAATTAGTAATTTTTCTAATTTTCCTGTTTGTTATCTGAAAACATTCTTAAGATGAGTCACATTCATTTCAACCTTGAACTAGCCATCTCCTTACCCTGGCTGTAAAAGGTCCACCTTCTCTAGAAAAATACCTCATTGTTACAAGTGTCCTTTATGACCTTTACAGGTCTTTACTTTGTGTTACCACCTCTCTGTTAAGACCAGAATACATGTGCCCTTACACACCTCTTTCATATAGTTGGATGTTTTCAGGTTTAAATCAGTGTTTACCTGTTAGGTGTGTGATTTACCTGATCTTATGCCTGTTTTCACTCATCCTAGTTTTATAATAAATTCTTACTGTGTAAAGAACTAGATAAAGCTTAGCTGACTTTAAACTTACTTTGAGCGATGTAGGCTTTGTGTATGAGGCCCGGCAGCACATGGCCGTCCTCTATGCTGAAGTTGTCATGAGGGCCAAAGACATTTGTGGGAATCACAGCTGTGTAGCAGCGTCCGTGCTGCTGGAAATAAGCCCTACAACAAGTCCACGAAACAGGAGAAACCATGTCATATTCACACACCCAGACAAAGAGATGCCAAAGCCAACAGCACACCTGTTGTGGACGTCAATCATCCTCTTTGCATATGCGTAGCCGAAGTTGGACTCATGAGGTGGACCGTTATGGATCTAATGTAGAGAAAATTCAGGAGAATTTCTGAGTTCAATGATAGATGCCAAGAACACTTTGCAGAGCAGGGGTTTGGATGATTTACCATAGTCTCATCAATTGGATACGTTGTCTTATCGGGAAAGATGCAGGTAGACAAACAGGAAACCACCTTCACCACGCCCACTTCATGTGCAGCCTGCAGCACGTTATCGTTTATGTAGATGTTGTTTCTCTGGAGCAGAGAGGAGCTAATTGAGAACACATCTATATTTCTACCTAACATGACAGTAAATCATCAGACAAAGAGGGAATTCCACGTACCCAAAAGTCCAGATTGTGCTTCATGTTCTTAAAAAGTCCTCCCACCATGGCAGCCAGGTGGATGACATGGGTGGGCCGGTGTTTCTCAAAAACCGCCCGCGTCTCTGTCATGTTCCTGAACACACAAACAAATTAAGTGTTAGAAAAAAAAATTAATATTTTGGTGTATAAAAAGGGTACATCTCTTACATGAGGTTTGCCTCTTTGGAGGACAGAAATATCCATTCTTCTCCGTCCTTGGCTCCACCCGCCTCTTTGACCACCTGCTGGATGGCCTTCCCCACCAAACCAGACCCTCCAGTCACCAGCACCCGCATTGTTGCGATGCATTCACCCTGAGAGTTCATCTGAAATCAGACAAGATAACTTTCATCACAGACTGTTTAAGCAAAATGTGGCGGACAGGACAATGTTTATGAAAAGGAAAACTCAGATGATTTCACATTATATTGAAAGTCTCTACGCTTAAATCATAATATAGGAAACTAAAGAGCAGATAACTAAACAAAAATAGAGAATAAAAAAGGAAGATAATACAAGTAATGGATGGCAAATATGGCATAATAGTGGATGTGCGATGCCAAAACAGGACATAAATTGTGACATGATACGTGGCACAAACAGGACAGGTGTCAGTGGATGGGGGTGAAAAACTTCCTCGAGAAGGTAATTCGACTCAGGTTTGTACAGAGCCAGCCTTGTCTGCGGTTTAAAGCAAGAGCAAACAAAAAGAGAAGCGGTAATATGGAAACAGGTTGACAAAAGGAAGACCGTACACCAGAACAGAAAAAAATCCCAGAGCAAATGCAGAGGTGTACTTTAAGCCTGTATCCACAGAAAAGAGGCTTGTAGATGCTTAGGAAGATTTTTGCATCCTATCACAGTTTAGGGGTCGATATTTCAGGAAAGATGTGAAAAACATCTCAATGCTCCAATCTCAATGAAAGGGTAAAAAGAAAAATCCAACAAAGTATTACTACACACCAAAGTTTGAATCATGACTGGTATGGACGAACGTTTTTTAATAGTGAATGTGACGTGTCATTGGCTCAGATAAAAATCATTTGTCAGCCCCAAAGACTGGCGCTTCTCTAAAGTCTGGCAAACTGCAGACAATACAGCCCACCTGCAGTAACCGGCTGTTACCTATACTCAAATCTTAAACTGCATTTTGACAGAAAATATAGTCATACCAAAGAGTTGTCTTCTTCCATTGACAGAAACGTGTATTAAACCAGTCAGACAAGCTACCCTGCTTATCCAAAGTTTCCGTTTGCCGGACAGCAAGCTCCAACAATTATCCCAAATACCGTATTACTGTAGCCGTAAAAACTTCAAAAACACACCAAGCTATTATTACAGTTTAATCATCATACTAACAACAATACGGCATCACAAAATTATGTTTATTGAGTACAACTGACGAATGAAGTGATAGTTTCTCACCTGACAGCAACCGGCGATTAGACAGGAAGTGGCAGACGAGGGCTGAAACGTCACTTCCGCTCAGGACTTTCAAAATATGTATCTTCCAGTGTCTACTGCAAATGTTTCATGTTTAGGATTAAAGTGTGCTTTTACATTTAGTTTTACATTGTTGTTTTCTTCTAATACAACTCTTAAGCTTATCTAAACCGAATATCAAACAAATGTGTAAACACCCGGAACGGCAGGCCCTATCGTTAACAACAAATTCTCCAGAGACATTCTCTGGGATGTTTCTAGGTTTCAATTACAGAAGGATGAGGGGGCTTGGCCTGGAGTTACAGTAGGACAGATTTAGGAACTTATTTCTTCTTTAGAATAGTCCACATGTCCATTTCATACACAGGAAGCATTCCCCTCAGTTGCTATTTATATATAAACTAAATTTCTGGAAGGGATTAAGATAAAGCACTTAGTGTAGGTAGAAATAAATTTGTTTCAAACAAGAGTTGATTTTGGGATGTATTATATGCTATTTTGATTTCTCTCTGGAGAAGCTTTTCCATCAGGGTCAGCTGAAGTTGAAGTTTAAAAGGTAAACAACTCACAGTCTTTTCATTTTTCAAGAATGTTATCAGCTATTGACTTTTTATGCATTTGCCGACCTGTTTTTGGATGATTTTCTTTTGGAAAAGCTTAATTGGAAATAAAATGCCAGTTTTAACATCCAAACAGTTGAAAACAAAAGAACAAACTTGATGGAAAATAAGCAAACTTCTTCTGTGTTTATTGAATATTCAGGTTATCTTATTTCATTGCAAAAGCAGACAACATGTACAGAGTTTTTTCATCTAATAATAATCTGAATTGGTCCATTATCTTCCTCAGCTGGTTCTGTCTACTGAGGAGAAGAGAACCTGCCGAAGAAGAGGATGGACTTGGTGCTATTGTGCCTGATGAAGAAGAGGAAGGGGTGATCAGCTGTGAAGTGTTCCTCCCTCAGCATGCAGAAAGAGACAATTCCAGCTGTGGCTGCAGCTGCTTCTGTGCCCTCCTCATTCACCTCCACAAAGGCCTTATGGGCCACCGTAGACAAGAAGAGCCCCCCCTCGCCGTTCATGCCAGACAGGTCGGCCTTGGCTGAGGAGAACACGTCGGTCATGCCCATCTGAGCCAGAGGCTCGTTCAGCTGGTACTCTTCCTCCAGTTTGAACTTTGGCAGGTGGATGAGGATGTCAGTTTGGAGCTCCATGTTTTCCCTGTCGGTCCACTCGTTCAGCATCTCCTGGGTCAGCTCCGTCTCCAGCTGAAACAGAGTTAAAGTCAAATGGGAAAATGCAGAAGTGAGGCGGGAAATTGGGCTTTTCTCAGCCGCCTGTGGACGCGTACCTTCAGCAGGGGGTCCGAGCCGTCCGCGGACTCTTCGGGCAGCAGGATGAACATGCTGAGCTCATCATCCACGTACGGAAGCTCCAGGATCTGCACGCCAAAGTCAGGGATCTGGGTGTAGGGCAGCTTCTTCATCTGGTACATCATCTGCACAGTCGTTGTCTCTTTCTGACACACAAAAAAAGGAGCATTAAGGTGACTGCTAAATGTTACACGGGCTTGATCTCCGTCTGCATTAGTTTGCACCTGATTGACTTTGAATGGCATCTCCTTGGTGTTTCCCGCATCAAAGCGGTTCATCCAGTTTCCTTTGAAGTAGATAGCATTGACCAGAGCCAATCTTGTCATTGAGTTGACTGTTCCCGGCTTTAGGAGGTCTTTTATCTTATCTGAACGTGATACACAGACAAAGCATGATTCAGTTCGGGACACACTGGTGTACAATCAGGTTGAAATCGCAGTTTGGCTGCTTAAAGCTGTGCAGGCTGACTTTCTGTCTGCTGCTCCACCCAGCTGTTGATCTCAGCTCTGCAGGCATCCGGGGCTCCGATGAAATCAACAGTCCTCAGGTCGGCCTGGTAGTACTTTTGTGTGGCTTCCAGAAATTCCTGCAGAGAGAAGAGGACGTCTCAGTGATCAGTCTGACACTTGGGTTATGTCAGAGCAGCCCTCAAACTCACAGGGAGAAACTTAGCGGTGTTTTCTCCATAAAGACGGTTGGCCAGTTTCAGGATGTAGGATGCAGACGCGGAGTTGATGTTGGTGTTGAGGGTCTGGAAATCTGCATGGACGCCATCCCCGGAGGTGAATGAGAGGGCCTGGGTTTAAAGAGAAAATTAAAAGCTTTATTACAAAATCAGCACAGAAAATACGATGAACACAGGTTGGAAAAAGTAAACACAAAACAAGATGAAAGAAAATGCTGATGTTTTCTCCTTACAGAAGTGAGTGTAAAAAGCCAAACTTATCTTTGGTAAAATATTGGCCTGTTTCTGTGAAAAACGCTATCAATATAGAATCGATACAAGTGTGGGGAGGTTTGAAACTGAATAATTTATATTTGACCCAAGCTGGAACCTCTCCAACACAGCTCAATAAAGCTAAATGAAACCATGGCAAACAAAGAGAAACGCTTTCTGAATCAGGCCTTCTAGCTTAATCAATTGAAACGCTTTTTTTTGTTGTCTGGTTCTGCTTTCCAGTTAAAAGATATCTCGTTCCAGAGGATAGAGTTAGTGAGGTCAAAGTACAGGCTGCATTACAGGTTTACACTGCCTCACCCCAGACACACCTCACAAAATACACACCAGGGTTGATCCAGGTGCAAAAATTTCAAATCACGACATGTTCTAAGTTCACAAGACAGAGTTTGTGTTGTTTGATACTGTGGGAAAAATGCTGTAATGACGAGGTCAGAATCTGGAGGGCTGGTCAGCTGGTGGTACGACCGTTTGCTGACCTTTGCCATCTGAGAGGCGGTGTCCCCTTTGGCTCCCAGATAGACCATCGCCATGGCTGAGCTAATGCTCAGCGGGGAGACGAAGATGTTGCCGGCGGGATTTGCTCGGCTCAGAGTGCGGAACAACTCCAAAGCGAAATCTGCGTTTGCAGCCATGACGGATGATGGACAGCTTCTCTGCACAAAAAAAAAAAAACAATTCAGACCCCACAGATTTCAAAGCTGTCTGACAAAAAAAAAAGCATTTCAAACACATGGCCTCCCAGAAAAGAGGACATATGGTGTCCTATTCCTCACATTTAGATGCAAAGTACAGGATCAACTTTAACTTTAAATCTCACAGACAGGAAAGGTCGCTTAAGCAACCCGGAAGGACGGATAATGATGTATTATTCACTTAAGCCTAACTGCTACGAATTCATTTTTTCCCGGAAATGAAGTGACATAAGGAAACTTTACACATCTCGTAGTATTCAGGATAATGGAATAAATCAGAATAAAGCCCAGCGACGCTACAAACGCGCGCGTCATTATTGACGGAGGCATATTTACCTAGGTTCTTCTTTTACCTGGTTCTCCACTGGACACGCACTCGGCTCACACGAACTCAGGGTGCAAGAAAGTGAAACCAAAACCCCAAGAAAAGCAGAAAGTCCCCTCAAAAGTCGGTGCGCGTCAGGTGGTGGTGCGCCGCTCATCGGGGCAGACAGTGGATGTGGGGAGAGAGGTGGGGCGGAATCCGGCCGCTGCTGCTGTGGGTGGGACGCGTGACTGGGCGATAAGCTACGGACACAAACAAAAAAAAACTGGATTTAGCGAATAAGAAAAGAGCCAACACAGTGCTGTGCGGAGCTGAACTGCACCGTAGGGTTTTGGCAAAGGTCTTCTTTTTTCCTTTTTTCTGGTGCTCTGCGTTTTGGCGTGCGACCTTTAGGGCGCAGCAGGGTGAGGACTGCCTCCCCCCATCAGTCACCACAATACCCTACTACTATAGGTTTTCGTTCCACATTTATGTCAAATGTTAGATATGAATACATATTTTAGCATTCACCTGTGAAGGGTATAAATCTACTGATTTTTGTAATCATATTTCACATTTAACAAGCATCATTAATACATAGCATGTTGACTAATACTTAAAATCCAGCAATTTTCACCTAAAGCTAATTCAGAAAAGCCATGTATGTCTTTTGTTGGACTTGTAAGTGGTCTTGGAATACAATGTCACTGTCACTGTGAAAATTCTAATCTGAAGAGTTTAATGTCAAGTGATTAATGTAAATCTTATACATAATTTGGGTTTAAATCATTTTGATTAATGGAATATGTCAGAGGTTTATGGCATGTATGAAAACCGATTACTTATTGACATCATAGAAAACATAAATATCTTCTTACTAAGTCAGACACTTGAATGATTTTTTGTGTTATTGCAGATTTCATAATAAATACTGAACAAACTTCACATTAAGCTGTTTAGTTTCTAAGCATCAAGGCAGACCAGAGAATTTATACAATATTTGAACATTTTAATTGAGTAAATGGGGTCAGAGATTCCTGTGAGTCACATCTTAATGGGGGCAGAGGTTACTTATTTGACATATGTCGGTACAAAGGTATTTCTCTGTGGTTTTATTTGAGATTACGCCATATCTCCACCCATCCGCACAGACCTGATAGGCATGTCTGTTTATGGGTAACCTTTGAACTCCTTGGATCGCCACCTTCGTTACACCAAAATTCTTTGAAAGTCTTTTCTTAGAATGATTCGATCCATCAAATTTATTAATGTTCATTTTTTGTACAACTGTAATTTTGTGTCATCAGCTGACACAAATGTTAACTATGACTCCGGTGGAGCGCTGAGGGAGGAGAAGTGCTTAAATGGAGCACTAACATGGAGAAAAAACTGTCATTTTGTTGAAATATTAAACTAAAAAGGCTAATCAGATGAGGAGGAAATACAGAGAGCATTTGATTGATTTTCCACTAGAGGGAGCCAAAGGATATCATTCGGTGGGCAGAGTGGATTGAAACGTCCACTCAGTTGGACTTCAGACAAAGTGCTAACAATCATTTAATTATCCTATAACATTTGAATCGGGTGTCAGCCTGCACTTTAAAAGATGAAGCTGTCAGTGTGTCATTCTCCCACACACAACAATGACAAAGGGCATCAGCTGGTTTCCCATAAGCTTTTTTTTATGAATATGGTCATTCCTACCAAATTTTGTCAATTAATACAACAATGATTAGCAGTAAACTTCAATAAATTATTCATTTTTATTTCCGAATTTGCATAAAATCTAAATATTCAGAAAAATTGCTGTTCAGCACTCTGCAATGAAGAGATGATTTACAGATACACTGACATCGTTGTCTTTTTGTGCAGTTTTCTGCTTTTTTCAGTTTGCTTTTGTCCCCTATAAATATCTTAATTTAAAGGAAGTGCAGCCATCTAAACATCTGCCATTTATAATCGTCATGAAGGCCTTCATTACGTTAAGTGTAATAATGCCATTTGTAAAACTAAATGGTAAATTTGTGACATAAATTTATTAAATGAGTTTACCAAACATAAATTGACTGCTGTTTTAATGATCTGAAATTGAAGTGCTTTGGAAAGCTCTCTTTCAGCTGGATATGAATGCTAAAAGAGTCCCCACACACCAGAACAGTCTTTAAAATTTCCTGTAAAAACTTTATCTCCATCAAAAAGGGGGATTAACATACATAAATGTTTTTTAAAGATATTGGCATCTAGACTTCTGCAATCTGTTATCAGGTATATCTGATTGTGTACAACAGAGTTTTGAGAAAAGTTTTCACAAATAAATGATGCATACCTTTTGTATCAGATATATTTGGCATTAGAGGGTCTAGTCCATTTAAACATATATACAAACCCAAGAATATGAAAATAAATAATGACACAACCCTTTGCTTTCGTTTGCTTGATTTTACATGGGGGCTTTTGATACTGTTGTACTCATCATGCCTTCCACCCAAATCCCCCCAGTGAGCTGGACACTCACATGGCAGCCTCTGTGGCTCCCTCTCTGAGGCATTCTATTCTGTATTGGCATTTCTATTAGCAGCCGCATCTTTGTGTCCTGTCAACAAAAGGCCCTGAACTGTTCTCAGGAACACACAAGTGATGACAATTTCCAACCTTCTGTGGAAAACTGGATATGTAACTACTCCCACACAGGCAAATAAATACATCTCAGTTACTTTTTCTTTGGATAAAAAACAAGAAGTACTTGGCAATTCATGATGCATGAATATACTTTATAGTTCTCTAAATAAAACACTCATGAAAAAGGCAGCATATCTGATTACTGTATCTGATTCCAATGTGGAAAAGCAATTTAAACAAGAGTTAATAGCAAATACTATTTCACACTGGAATGCCCAGCGCACACCTGTCCATAAGCCCACTGTCAGCTTGGATAGGCTCCAGCCCCTCTCCCTGTCCCTGTGATCCTTTAAAGGATAAGCTAGTGGAGCTAAAGGAGGGCTGGATCATGTCACATGGCTCCCAAATACAGCCTGGTATTCAAAGTTTCCCTTGAATAAAACAAATATCCTCAGTTATGAGGTAACTGGTGAACAGAAGATGACATTTTACAGTTAAAACAACCAATATTTCCTTTGTGGTTTGAGAAAAGAAAAAGGCAAATTTCTGTGTAAAAAATGAGAGGACATACTTAACCTGATCTTTGATTAAAGTATCTCACATCTGCAGGGAAAACTTAAACTTCAGTGAATTGTCACACAAAATCAAACATTTGAAATCAAACTAAGCAGAAGTCTCTCGCTACAAAAGGGTGAATATGAATCTACACGAATCAAGAAATACCTGTCATGTAAATGGACGTTCGCCCTTTTGTACAGATTTGAGTTTTTATTTGCCAGATTTATCTATATGCAAGTCAGATGTCATGCATTCCTTTTCAAGGCTAATGCGTCTCCTTTGATTTTCCAGCATTTATCATTAACAAAAAATAAATTAATCAAGAGATATTTAATTTTCTGATATATCTGTCTCATTGATTTCTGGGTTTATTCTTTATGGTTCCACCTGTTTCCACATGTACGGAAGGTGCCATTCCTGACCTGGTATTTAATGTTCTCCACTGTTCAATGTGTTCAAACTGGCAGGAAGAGACCTGAGCTTAAGGCAGAGTGTCAGCCCTTTCGTAAATCTCTTCATTGTTAGTGTGACCAATTTACGAGCGGGAGTTGAAAGCAGAGCAGCTCTCCCGCCGCGGGGGTGAAGGTGATGGGGAGGGTATAGGTCTGGAGTTGGGTTGGGATAGAGGGAGACTGAATTTCACCTTTAACTTACTTTACCTTCATCCTTGAACAGGCACGTGAACGGCACATTAGTGCCGCTCACGTTAAACAATTATAAACTCTCAGGGACCACAGCTTAAACTATCTTGTTCTCCTGGTGTTTAAGTTACAGTACAAACACAGGCTCAGATCCTCAAACGGCTGCCCGCTGAGCTACTGTAGGACTGACTTAGGAAGCCATAACGGGAGAAAAGAGGAGACCTGAGCTGATGCTGTGGAAATATAACCTACATTATGGTTAATGCATTTAGCAAGACAAACAGTAAACACCAGGGCCCCGTGTTTAAAATAGAAAAGGTACATCCACAGATTTACAAATGCTTCGCATCTGCTGCAAGCTCTGCTTTGGTGTTAATGTGTGGTTGTTGATTTTAACTGGCATTTACATGGGGAGGAAACTAAGCACCAGAAAGTTGTGAACAAGCACTTTTGAGTCTGGCCCATATACATTTATGTATTTGTTGTGAGTTTCAGATGGTAAATGTTTATAAAGGGAATATTTAACTTAATCCCACATATTGTCTTATAACCTTACATTGCACTGTTATATTAACTCTTCATAGTCCTGATTTAAAACAGACGTGGTAGTTTGTGCTTCTTGCTTAAATTGCGTTGTTCATAATTGAGACTATTGACATCAGTTGTTTTTGTTCATCAGGACAGTTTTAGGAACTTTATCTGCAATGCATAACACTACCACCTCCACATGAGAAAATGAACCCTAAAAATCAACTGTGTGTCTGTATTTTTGGTCAATCCGTTCAAGAAAATCCAAATTTGAAGTTAACGCACCAGAATTTCCAACAAGGCAGGCCTTTTTAGCCATGTTCATTAACATTACATTTGTCAACTGACATTTACTCAAAATAAAGCTGTCAGCTGCAAAAGTTCTTTTCTGGGTTTTCGGAGTTAACCCAAGCCAGGTTACTAAAATACTAGAGATGAACTCTTATTTTGGATAACCATTTTTTCTGGAAGAGGACTGACTTCAACTCTGTCTCTACCTACTCTCTCCTTAGCAGGAATACTTCTTTCTGTGATCAAGATCCAAGTCTAAAAATAAAGATAGATAAATAAAACAAGCCTACTTATCTCATGTTTACCTGCTTTTGTCCAGGTTTTGCTTGAGTAAGAAACTGGACGAGTAAATTCTGCCCCCATAAAAAGCTGTGATATAGAAGTTTGGTACTGTTATATTATTGATTAAATCAAACCATAACATTCCCAAATTACTTACACGTAGAACTCAACATGATCGAGCATATATTCTCTCCATACATTTTCTTTATATCATAATATTTTTTATAAAAGCAGCAGTCAGATCAGTGCTGATGCTTTTAGAAGTGTCCTCTGAGTTGGATAAAGTATTGTAAATATGACCCACTTGGCTCTGTAAGTGGTCCAACTATGTCTCCGTGCTCACAAATTTATGTCTCATACTCTGTTTCAACCACCAGCCACCACTGGTGTAAAGCCAAGGTCTTGCAGACGACCATCATTAAATTTCTGGGACCTCAAAAATAACCCGATCCCTGCTGTGCTGTCCCCAATAAACTGAGTTCTCAGTTGGGAATGGAGGTTATGAAGTTAGACTCATTTTTTAAGAAAA